TTGTTAAAAAAATTTTGAAGATGTTTTGTTTAATTGAATAAGTGTCTAGTGGAGTGATAGCTTTGAAGGTGCATAACTTTATATTTGTATAAAACTACTGTTTATAAAGCACTCTGACACCCATCCTCTCTTTTGATCCTCACGACCAGCCCATTGTGTGCGATGTCCTTTTATAGGTGATGAAACGGGACTTCAGGTTATTGAGCGACCTGCCCAAGGAAACACAGATCACAGTAGGACCCATCAGGTTGCATGACTGATTCTGGAGGAAATACTCTCTCTAAATGTCCTTTCCTTTCTTAAGAACTGTGAATTTGCTAAGTCATTGATTTGTTAAGTGCTTGACTCCCATTTTATTTATACTCATCTGGTGGGGAAGGTTGGTGCTGCATAAGCACATGTTTGCACTTCACCTGAAAGGGCTGACGTCAGTCTTCAGGGCTGAGAGTCCGGTGGGAGACACACTGGTCCCGTTCTTGAGTTGACTGTTGTTACATGAGGCTGCAGTCCTAAACCAAACATGAATTGAATTCTTCAGTATGCGTGTGGCAGGGCCTACTGTCTGTCCCCTGACGCTCGTTTTTCCTTCTACTCATTTCCCACTTCCTGGCCAGGACATGGCAGCAGAGATGGTTTTCCCAGATTTCCTTGCTGCACCTTGGATACACTTCCGGGATGTAGTCTTGGAAGGATGACCTGCCTGTCCCCTCCCCTTCCCACCCTTGTGGGTGGACATGTAGGCCGAATGGATGGCACTTGAACACGTCTTGGACGATGGGGCGGAAGCCTTGTTTGTGAACAGCAGAGAGAGAGGGTAGAGGTTGATTCCCTCTGGTGGGGAGAGCTGTCCTGAGCCACCCGTCTGAAGTTTTAAGTGAGACACAAAGTTGTGTCTTGTTTATCGCTACAGCCCAGCTGAATTCTTAGCACTGCAGTATGTCTTTCGCATCCCCCGTAGTTCTGTCCATTAGCTTAGTACTTGAGATGTCGTAGTTTGCAGGTAGGTATTTGGTCTTTTCTCTGGGTGGTAATTGAGCTAACATTACAGGTGCTAACAGGTCCAGCTCTTCCAGGCGCTGTCGCTGCGTAAAAACTCCCCCCAGAACGTCGCAGTGTCACCGCCGTGTTAATCGTGCTTCCGTGAGCCGCGGGTCGGGAGTCTGGGTGCAGCCCAGCGGGGACAGCTGTTCTGCGCTGCACGGTGTGGTCATCCGTGGAGAGGTCTGAAGGCTGGGTCTGCGCGCTGGCTGGGAGGCAGGAAACATCTGGGGTGCCTTCACGGGTCTGGAGGTTGGTGCTGGCTGTCAGCTGGACCTCAGCCAGCTTGCTGGTTGGAAGCCCTGCATTTGTGACCTCTGGGTCATCTCTCCTTAAAGGCTCCCCTGGGCTTTCTCACAACTTGGCAGCTGGGGTCCAAAACAGGCTTCCCTGGGGAGCCAGAGAAGTGTGTGGTGTTTTTATGACCAGCCTTGAGATTCACGTAAGGTCACTTCTGCCATACCGGGTTGGTTGAAGCAGTCACTGAGGTCCCTCTGAGTTCAAGGGGAGGGGATACAGAGGCCACAGCTTGATAGGAGGGTCCAGATTACACTGTGACAAGAGCAGTGGGAAGGGAGGTGCTGCTGCAGCCCTCTTGGGTCAGTAAAACCTGCCACACCTACGTCAGTTGTTTGATCAAGACTGAATACCTGCTTGGAAGGGGCTGGGGGAGCAGGTGTTGTTGTCCCTGTATCTTCCGTCTGGGCCAGCCTTGGGGACGGGTGGATTGTCTGCAGTTAAAGTTACAGCAGCATGGTGTCTGCAGCCCCAGGGCTCCTGATCTTTGACCCGCAGCTCTGGGGTACACGGGTGGGGGCCCTGTGTCGAGGGGGTGGCACGTTAAGTCCACACTGTGTAGGTACTGTGATGCTTTAACTGTAAAACTCTTCAGGGCTCATCCGGAGCTCTTTTATGTACATGCAACCTCATTTGATTCTCCCCCACGACCTCATCTGGGAGGAAAGGCCGCGAACAACCCCATGTTACAGATGCGGAGCTAAGACTGGGATAGTCGTTGACGGGAGGGTGCATGTAGCAGTGGCGGTGATGCGTGCCTGGTACCCTGCTTGTTCTACGCGGCCCACCAGCTCCCACGTGATCCCGTGCGGCCAGTGTGATGTGACGGAGGTGACCTGTGTCACTTCTGGGCGAGGAAACTGACGTGAGGTTCTCTGATCTTCTCCCCTTCTGTGGCAGCCAGCGGTGCTCTAGACGATGCCTCAGCCAGCAGGGCCCCTGGGTAGCTTGTAGTGCAGAATCCCCCACCTGCTCCTGTGGGACACTCCATGTAAGTGAGAGAAATAAAATTTTGGTGTGTGAAGCCACTTGATTCCTAGTTAATTTGTTTCCGTAATGTAACAATGTAATAGCCTATTGTGAGGAATATGGGTGCACAACCGACAAGTAATACTCAGAAGAAGTTTTACATGGTAATATGGTAATTTCTCCACTGCTCTGTGCTATTTCCTTTTACAGGGAAAGAGACTGGATTCTTGTCCCTTAGTGCAGAGTCTCTGGTTCTGATCAGACCAGACGGGTGAAGTTGGCCAGGTGAAAATTGGAGAGTCCGCCTCCATCTAAGGGGACCAGAAGGTTCTCATTTCCAGCCGTTTGTTGCCACTCAGGAATGTATTTCAAAAGGAGTGGAAAATCTGGATGTTTATATGAAACCTGGTATTTTAATGCTTGTAAATTTTAAAAGGAAAAAAGAAAACATGTGAAACCAAACCGGGCGTGCTTGCAGGTCAGGTTCAGCCGCGCTAACTCCCGCGTAGTGCGGCGATGCTTACACCAGTGGAGCTCTCCTGTCTCGTGTCAGAGCTGAGTGTCTGTAGTGAGCAAACCAGGGCTGCCCTAGAGGAAGCGGGCTTGGAGGTCCTGGAGTCGCCCACTCAGCCCTAACTACCAGTTTCCAAGGAGCTCCCTGAGCCCCTGTCTGCAAACCACGGCTAGGAAGGTGAAACCGAAGTCTGCTGCTTTCCAGGAGCACGTTCTCAAATAGTGTGTCAAATACATTTTTAAATTGAAAATAAAGTTGAAAAAGTAATTCTTGTGAAAAGCAGGAAGCAATTCCTTAAAAGATTTATGATGTTGTCTTTCTGAAAAGAAAGGAGCAAGCATTTGATTTCTTGAAGAAGTTAAATTTAGTGCCAAGAAAAAGTGTAATCCCGTCTATAACTTTTCTCCACTATGATGACCATGATAGTAATCAAAGCGCTCAAGGTCAGAAAACCAAGTAGTGCCGAAAGGCCACAAAGAAATCACGTCCGACCTCACTCTGCTCTGCTCCCCAGAAGCAGACCTCCTCGACTGCTGTGGTTTTTGTATTTTGAGGTATTTGCCCTCACCCTCGATGACATGTGTACTGTGCTCGCAGTGCTGCTTGACTCAGCCACTTTTGACACAGCTGTTGGCTTCTTGCCATGAAAAGTGAAGGTTTAACTCAAGCCCCTCCCCCTCATATAATTTGAACACTGGTCCCGTTGGTGCTAACATTAAAGCTTTAACATAAACCTCCCTTTCTTACGCCTTCAGGTATCTGATGTTAAACTGTTAACTTTCTCTGTTAGCCATTGGTTTACCTGCAGGTAACAGAAAACCCCACAAATAATGGCTGAAACAAAGGGAGTGTGTGTTTTTTCTGCAAAGGAGGTGTGAAAGTGGGCCCTTGCTGATGTTGGTCAGTTACTGGGTTCCGCAGAAAGCTGGTTTTGTCCCCATGATCGTTGCCTCAGGGTCACAAGATGACTGTCACAGCTGAAGATGACTCATCTGTTTTTAAGCAAGGGAGGAGGATGGACGTTCCGGTGGAGTCTGTCCCCTTTTATCAGAAAAGCAATAGTTTTCTCAGAAATCACAGTAGACTTTCATTTTTGCTGACATCTCATTGACCAAAATTGGGTCACCCAGGGGTAAGGAAGTCTGGGGAAGCAGGTATGTAGCTGGGCACGCCGCTGCCTTGAAAAAAGTGAGGTTTTGTTTAGCAGGGGAAAAAGGACAAAGGGACGTCAGTCAGGAGCTGGCTCAGTGCTCGTGTGGGGCTTATGTGCAGGACACCAGCCGCCACTGTGGCCAGTGCTCTTGGCATCGTTTCTGCAGTAAATAAATAGCTTCTGATCTGGGCTTTTGTTTTAGATAAATTTGATGTGAAGCCATGAAAGCACAACGTGGTGAGAGTGTCCTGTGAGGGCGCAGGCTGCTGTTCCCTTAGGTGCGTGTCTGTCCATAATGTGATGTGGGGTTGGGTGGAAGGTATTCAGGGCTGTGCTTCTCCTGGGGCGGTGCTGTCCCCAAGGGAGGGTTTTTGTTGGATGTTATGTGGTGTTAACAGGGGCTGGTTAACAACAAAGTTTGGCTGTTTTGCTGGGTGGAGTCTAGGGACGCCAGGAGCTCGTGGAGCAGAGGACAGTTGTGTGCGGCCAGAAATTGCTCTCAGCTCTGGCGGCTTCCAGCTGTCCCGTGCGTAATTATGCACATGAAAGTCCTGTGCGTAAGGAAAGGAAAGTAACCCCTGACAGCCATGCCCTGGAAGCCGATCTGGCCCCGGCAGCTAGGCTGGCGTGTCCTTGGGCAGATAACTTTACGTGACACCAGCATCTGACAGGGCCATTCTGTGCCTGTGCGGGAGCAAGACGGAAGTGAGGGCTCTCTGGAATCCTGTTGGAGCACAGAGAAAAGAATACTGCGTAAAGCACAGAAAACGGCCAAACACCCCCAGCCCGCTGGGGTGGGAGGCGGCTGCTGTTTTGCTGAATTCAGCCACAGACCACGCTGTGCCTCCTGCTGCCTACGTTGAAATGAAGATAGCCGCTCATAGAATTAATGTAAAATCCAGAGTCAAACTATGATTCATGGAACCCTTTTTGAAATCACCTAAGCAAGCCCAAATTCTCTAGTCAGCCCATCCTAGCACCTTGTTCCGAGACACCCCATGGCGTGCAATCTCCCTTGTGCAGAGGTGCTAATAAACCCAGTTTGGTTCAACCACAGGCCTGTTCCTCAGGGTCTCTAGCTGGTGAGCATCGGCAGTAATTATCTGGGCCTAGGTTGCAAGCCCTTTTTGTTGCGGATTTTGTAATAGCTGGAGTGTTGACGATGTGCCCCAATATGCAAGCCCTTCAGCAAAAGGTGGAAGGCCTGCTGCTTCAGGTACTCGACGAAGTCTCTGATCATTAGCTGAGGGCTAAGCTGAGTGGGGATTTCAGTGGCTACACGTGACAGAGAGTACAGACTTGACAGCATTAGGAAATCACTAAAAACCCCTGCAGCCCCCAAAACCAGCACTAAAGGTAAGGGGCAGCAGGTAATCTGGTTTTCAGAGCTGCCACCTGATATTAAATTGTCCAGTTTTCAACAACAAAATTGTAAGGCGTGCAAGAAACAAGACGGTATGACTTACACACAGGAAAAAAAAAATTCAACAGAAACCTTCCCTGGGGAAGACCAGACTTTAAAGCCAGGCTTCTATCAGCTGTCTTAGACATCTTCAGAGAGCTAAAGGAAACTGTGGACAAAGAACTGAAAAAGTGAGGAAAATGACCTATGAACAAAATGAGAATGCCAGTGAAGATACACGTTACAAAAAGGAACCAAGTAGAAGCTTGGGAACTGAAAAGCATGGTAACTGACATGAAAAACTCACTAGAGGAGTTCAGCCTACTGAGCAGGCAGATGAGAGAATCAGAACACTTGAGAACAGGACAGTTGAAGTAATGCAGTGTGAGGAGCAGAAAGAAAGAATGAAGAAGCCTGAACACAGCCTAAGGGACCAGTGCGCACCATCAAACATACCAACGTGCGCTTTGTGTTGGGAGAAGAGAGGAAGAGGAAGGAAGAATTAGTGACTGGAAGCTTCTCAAAGTTCATGAAAGGCTTGGGAAAAAAAAAACTGCTTTCCCAAGAAGCACGGCAAATTCTAAGTAGAATGAGCTAAAGAGGTCCACACCTAGACACAGAGTTGAATTGTCAAAAGTCAGTGACAGAGAATATTGAAAACCACAAAACTGCCCATCGCAGATAGAGGGTGCTCAATGAGATGGAAAGCTTGCTTCTCTCATCAGAAGCCATGAGGTCAGATGGCATATTCAAAATAGACTTTAAGACAAAAAGCAACTGTTACAAGAGACAAAGAAGAATGTTACATATTGATAAAAATTTCATCAGGAAGACATAACCATTAAAAACATATGCACTTGGTAACAGAGCTCCAAAATGCATGCAGCAAAAACTGAGAATTGAAGGGAGAAATAAAGAACTCAGTAATCACTACTACTAATGATTGATTATCAGTAATTTAATGATTATGTGAGATAATCCATGTAGAATGTTCAGCGTAGCCCCAAACACGGTCAGCTGTCAGTAACGTTAACTGACTCAGAAAGGAGAACAGAATTGCTTAGCTAGTTAAAGGCAGAGAGGAGGTCTCAGCCCTAGCTGAGTGGCTTCTATGTGACTTGGAGTCCCATCCAGTATAGGGCATGGAGGATTCAGATGGAGAAAAGCAGTCAGTTGCAGGAAAGAATGCTGAATCCTTTCATTTTTTAAAATTTTGCTTAGAACAAGTTAGAGATTGTAAGATTTTAAGCTAGTAGTTTACCACAGTGTTCATTTATAATTTATCTTATATTTAAAACACATCTTGCTATTTATGTTTTTCAGATAGTTGTTGAAATCCAACAATGCCGTGGACCAGTCTTCGCGGTAAACATTTCTTTTAGAGCATCGCCTCTCTGCACGCCCTTTTCCCCTTTGGCTTGTAACTTGTGCATTGTCCACTAGATGGCAGTACACCAACATAACATGTAAATGTAACAGCGGGACCGTAGCATCTTACTTAGGGTAATGAGAAGTGATGGTCTCCTGGAAAATTAGCCTGCAACGTGGGTTAGGACTAAATCCACGTTTCCTGTTACGAAATTAATGAAAACCAGTGCTAATGAGTGAATAGACACCGAGATGGTACTGCATACGTGATACACGTCTACTTTCCTCATCACCTACCCCGCCTCCCCTCACTGAACAAGTGGGAACTCGGGACTGGAGGGTCAGTAGCTTTCCTGGCGTCACACAACCAGAGGGGTGAAGCCAGGACTTGTCAGTGGCCAGGAAAGATGATGAGTTTGGGTTTAAGACATTGGATTCGAAGCCAGTGGTCACATCCAAGTACCAGAATGCGGTGGAAACCTGGACTTCTACCTTAGGCTTCCTTTAAGAGGCATCTCTGCAGAGCATAGTCAAAGCTGTAACTGCATGTGGGCTGTCTGTGGCACAAGCGCCTGTTAAAGAACAAAGCTGAAGTGTAATTCCCGAGGAGACGGCGATACGGCAGAGGGCTGAGGGCACACACACTGGAGGCAGCCAGTCCAGAGTTTAAATCCTGGCTTCAGACTTACTAGCTGTGCACTCTCGGGCAAGGTAGATGATCTCTCTGACCCCTCGCAGTAACCTTCGGAAGGAGATACTACCTCCATTTTACAGATGAGGAAACTGAGGCTTACAGAATGTAGGAACTGACCCAAGGTCACGGTGCATCTAGTACACGATGGCTCCGAGATTCAAATCTGGAGGGCCTTACTTAGACTTACGCTGTGGAGTACCACGTACATGGCTTCCCCAGTTACTTTCCCTAGTTACCTAGGGCACTGCCCAGTAACCCCTCGTGTCTGTGTGAGCCTCCTTGTACGGTCAGGGTTGTCCAGAGAAACAGAACCAGTAGGAGATATAAATTATGTCTATAGATCTGTATCTATGTTTGTATCTTATGGCTATATTCCTTGAAATAAATTCTGTGTGTCTGTGTGTGTGTGTGTATACAGTACACACAGAAACAAAGATTTATTTCAAGGCATCGGCTTACGGAACTTGGGAGCCGGCCAGGCCTGCTCAGTAGGGTGGGACAGCAAGCTGGGGCTTCAGTCTTGAGCCAACATTCTTCTTCCTCTGGAAACTCAGTTTTGCTCTTAAGGCCTTTTAACGAATCTGATGAGACCCGCCCACGTTATTGAAGGTCATCTCTTTAACTTAAAAGTCAACAGACTGTAGATGTTCATCACACCTAGAAAATGCCTTCACAGCAACACCTAGATTAGCATTTGATTCAAGAACTGGGTACTGTCACCTGGCCAAGTTGACACCTAAAACTACCCATCGCATTTCTCCACGTTGCCTGTGAACTGACAGCAGAGAGCGTCTCTCTCTAGGTGACTGGAGCCGGGCACCTGGCTGCACCCAGTAAACTTGGAGTGTGTACACTACGCACCCTGTCTAACAGCCTGGGCAAAAGTGAACTTTCAGCAGCAGGCCTGGCGAGGTGCAGACTTCCGGTGTTCTTGAGTGACGTGGTACTTTTCTTCGGGGCCCCCTGGGTAGCACAGCAAAGGATGACGATGAAGGAACTGATGGGCATGGCCAGCCGAGGCCACGAGCAGGGCTGCCGTCCCAGGAGCTGGTGGAGGTCCTGGTGGGACACTGTGCTGGCTGTCTTCTCTGTGTGCGACTTTCTGCTGACACCTGTTCCCGGCTCCTGCTGCTGTCCGCCTTTGTCTCTTGGTGAAAGGTTTTCAAACAGCAGAATCTGTATGGTTGGGCAAGAGTGAGTAACTGTGGGGCTGTGAGTGCCTGTGGCCGCACAAAGACCAGCCCTGTCGCGCCCTTCTGAGGCTTGGCAGCCTCTTCTGACAAAATACAGACACGGGAGAGTGGGTGCCGCCCAGACGGTGGGAGCATCCACCAGAAATTAGGCTGCAAGTGCGTCCACTTGGGGAGCCATCTCGGTGTCTGGTTCCACACCTCCCACCGCTGGAGAGAGAATGGCTTCACCTCCTCCTTGAAGAGCCTTCAAACGCGTCTTGGAGCACGCGCTCACCCTCTCCGCCCTCCTCTCTCTGGGACCACCTCATGCTGCCTCCTAGAAGTGTGGGCGCATCCCTTCCTCAGCTGTCTCTACAGAAGTAGGCTGACGACAGCCAAGCTCGTCCTGATACTCTCATCCTGAGGACAGGGGTGGGCTTGTGGCCCATGCTGAGGACGGGCACAGATTTGGAAGATCGTTTAATAAAACACAGCTGTTGGGGGTAGACTACTTGGCAGGACTGATTCGTGTCCCCTGCCTCCCAACCAAATTCTGTGTTGAAGCCCTAAATGCCATTACGACCTTTGGAGATAGCACTTTAGGAGGTAATTAAGACTAAATGAAGTCCCAAGGGTGGGTCCTAAGTGGATAAAATTGGTGGCCTAAGACTAGGAAGAGAGAGAGCTTTCCACGTGCACACACGCAGCAGAGGCCACGTGAGGACACAGGAGAAGGTGGCCATCTGCAGGCGCAGAAGAGAGCTGTCGTCAGAAGCTGAGTGGGTTGGCCCTGTGATCTTGGACTTCCGGCATCCAGAGCTGCGGGAAATGAGTCCCTGTTGCTCAAGGCCCTGGTCTGTGGTGTTGTGTCACGATCGTCAGGGAGACTGAGACAATACTGATCATAAAGGACTGTAGGCTTTTAAAGCTTGTCTCATAGAGGATGTTAAGCATGAAGGAAGGAAATGCTAATTTTCAAGGAGTCTTTTCCACATCCAGGAAGAAAATAGGGAAAGGGCATTTTAAGTCAAAAGAATTCCTTGCGTAAAAGTGTGGAACGTGGCATGCAGGTGCGCACGCGCACACATGCACATACACAGAACGCTTTATGCTGCAGCCACAAGAGACAGCTGGTTGCTCTCCAAACATGCCAGGCTTTCTCCAGCAGGACATCTTTTACATATTCTGGGTAATTCTCCTTTGTCTGTGACATGTGTTGAACATACTTCCTTCCAGTCTATAACTTCATTTTTAACTTGGTTTTGGATTTTTTTTTAAACTTACACAGCTTTTGAAAAATACAGAGTCAAATTTGTCCACCTCTCCTTTTATGACTTGACTTTCCAGTATTCATTTAAAACACAATGTTTTACATCAGCTATACTTCAGTAAAAAAGGTTATCCTCCATTTATAGTTATTGTAACATATTGGCTGTGTGCCCTGTGCTGTGCAATGTGTCCGTGTAGTTTATTTTATACGTTGTAGTGTGAACTGCAGAGTCCCCTCCCCCTGCCCTCTCCCCACGGGCAACCACTCGTTTGTTCTTTACATCTGTGCGTCTGTTTCTTTTTTAAAATTACATTCACTAGTTTGTCGTATTTTTTAGATTCCATGTGTAAGCGATGGCATATGGTATTTGTCTGACTCTAACTTATTTCACTAAGCATAACACCCTCCGAGTCCAACCGAGTTGTTGCTGATTTTGTATTTTAAAAGTTTTTTTTCACACATGGTCATGAATGAGACTGATCTGAGGTTTTGCTTTTCCAAGCTAGTGCTGTCGAGCTTTGATAACACGGGTCATGACCGCCTTGTGAAGCGAGCTGACAGGCGCCCCTTCCTCCCCGGACGGCACACTTTGTGTAACATCGGAGTCACTGCTTCTTTAATGGCTGCACAGCATTGGAGGAACTGCCCGAGCCTGGCGTTTCCTTCGTGGGAAGGCGTCAGGGTCAAGGTAGCCTCATAAAAGCAGCCTGGGAGCATTTCTCCTCCTTTCCTCTGGAACAGTGGGTGCAAAACCTAGATGACCCGTTCCTTGAATGTTTAGTAGAAACTGCTTGTCAAACTCTAGGCATGGTGATGGTGTGTGTGTGTGTCTTAAATTCCTGATTTGATTACTTTTATTTTTATTTGGCTTTTCAGCCAATCTGCTTTTCTTGAGTCTGTCTGGTTTGTTCGTTCTTTCTTTTCCTTCCTTCCTTCCTTTCTTTCTTCTTGTCCCTTTCGCCCAGTTTTGAAACACGGGAGTGAAATGTGATCAGGCTGGAAATTTTAGAAAGCTCTTTTGGCCAGGTGTAGTTGCAGGCGCTATAAGGCACACGTGTTTTCGGTGGAAACGTTAATTCAGGTTCGTGTTTGGGAGGTTGGGACTTGGAGGGAGGCTGTCTGTCTTCGTCTTACCTGGGCCCACCTTCTCTGTTTCCAGATTCCCTTCTGTGGGTGGGGGCCCCATCCCTTCTCACCTTGCTGATCTCTCTGAGCCTCACCTGGTTTCCTCAACTGCCAAGTGGGGATAATACCACCCACCTGAACTGTGGGGATGAGATGGTAATAATGGACCAGCGCCAGCTGATAGGCTGATCCAGATTCAGACGTGAAGACCTTCGGAGAGCTCCCGGCGCAGGCAGCCCCGCCCGTGGTGGTGGGGCCCTCAGCCGGGCGCGGCTACAAGCGCTCGGCAGTAACTGTCAGAACCGCCAGTGTTCCAGCCGTGCTGTGGTGACGGGCTGGGCTTAGCCTCCTGGGGTAGATGCTGGTGAGCTGCACGGCACGCATAAAATAACTTTTCCTCAGGCATCAGACCGCAGGCCGCGTGAGACTGTGGTGCCCAGAAAAGGGATGGACAACCAAGTGAGCCTTCTGTGCCCTGGCTTTCTTCCTGGGGGCAGCTTCTGCCTGCGGATTCAGGGAGGCTGGCGGCCTGTCTGAGTTGTGGAGATCGAAGACCATCCAGAGCAGCCTGCCCAGGGCGAGTCAGGTGAGCTGAGGCGTCCGCTCACCTGGACCGCAGGGGGAGTCCTGGGGCGGCCTACCTGCGAGTGGGAGAGACTCGGGCACCTGGCCTGTGGAGCAGGATCACTCATCCTTGCGTGGCCCTGGAAGACAGAACCTGGAGGTTGAATGGAAA